TCAGATGATTGTTCACTACTTGAATTATTGACCATATTCTTCAGAAAAGGGCGTGTCCTCTGTACTTTATGCACGCAAGTCTTGAATTGTGTATACAGTCCTCACATGGTCTCTGTCACTACTGTAAAATGTAAAACGCCAGATGAATTTCCTTAATCAGAGGCCTGCAGGAGCAATTAATAGATTAATCATTCCATGTTGCAAATACCAGTGTGTCTGTTGGCCTGAACCTTGGGGTACAACCTATTTACGGGATTTAAATAGTTGCCATGGTAATGAGGTCACACTTTGTTTAAGCTGATTTTGATCTTGATACATTTAGAAGGAAGTGGGCCTCCGTGTCCATCAGCTAATTAATGAATTATGACTCAGAAAAATAGCCAGTATTCTTAGAGCCAGATGACTCCGCTATCGTTCAGCGCTCAGGCGGGGGCTTTATTTCTGCGAAGCCTTGCTACTTCAGTCATAACAGTTCTGCATCATGATGATAGAGGTCTGTGTAATTAGCTGAGGTGTAATTTGGTTCTGTGTTTTAGCTGTGAATCTGTAGCTGGCTGTGTATTTATGCTTGGTGACAATGTTGCTTGTGCTTGGTGCTTTCTGTTCCCTAGTATTGTAGTCTCACCCAAAGCTTGTCCCTATAGCCTCTGGACTTTGTAGCGCTCTACTGCCACCCATGGGTGTGCACAAGTGTTTCCATTTCTGTAGTTGGAGGGCAGCTTCACCATTTGAACTGATTAAAAATGCCCTTTATATCCACACCCACAGGCAAGAGCAGAATGGCCTTTTTTTAGATGTTTATAATAACAACACAAGGCCATGTTGGTGTGACTGTGCTGCAAAGCTTCGCAACATGCATCCCTCCACAGTAATGTATGTATTGCCAGAACAAGAGTTAAACATCATGTGCATCTTTTCTCATTGCCCAAAAAGCAAAGAGAAACAAAAGGGAGACAGTGAGGGTTCTTAGAGGCTATATAACATTTACAGTGAAGAAGTACAAAAGGGAGGGACAAAAAACTGCAAACAATGACACAGCAGAGTTATGCAGAAAATTATGCTGGCCAATTATTCGAGTCAAAATGATATGGAATGGAATGGCAGTGAAAATTAATCAAAAAGGATTAAATTAATACAGGTTAAATGGCTGACTTCCTCTCTGGCTAATATTTAATAAAAGCTTGTTCCGCCAACAGACTTTGTGATTAGACAGTTGATTGGCAGAGGCTGGAATTCTTTGAAGTATAACAGATTGTCCTCATCGCCCATTTTTGCCATCATTTATTTAGTCCATCTAGTCACAAAAGATGGCATATGACCCATAGTCTGTGAAAGGAATTTTAAAGAGCTCAGTGGAAACATGATCTATACAGCAACCGCTAAAGCACCACTTATCAGCAGCGGACTTTGATTGAGTGATGCTTCAAAAAGCAAGATAAATGTGCAAAAGTCAAACGTCGGGGAAAAGATATGAGGCTGGATCTTACATGAGCCTCCTTCAATATTGTTAACCAGCACAATTAGCAGGCACGGAATCAATGTGGTTTTGTTACTGGCACTAAAAAAATCAGACTGAAGAATACATAATTGTGTACACTGCTAGTAGAAAATAGAGGGCTAAGAAAACTCCTCCCATGTGAAACTTGATGCATTTTTATTCAGCCATAATCTTTCATCTAAAAAAATATGCTCCTTAGAATGAATCATTTCTCTGTTTGAGGTTATGTATATCAAATCTACTTCAGTCGTACCGTTCTGCACACCAAAGCAGCCATCACAATAACCTTACAGGACTACACTATTTTTTGGCTAGTTTGACCTATTTGGACTATTACTTCTGAGAACATTATATGACAATGTCTGGGGCTCTGTTTAATTGCTGGAGCAGTACATAACTAGTACAGAATACTTCATGGCTGCTGACTGTAGATGGTTATATCAAAACTCTGGTCATTTTATTTAATTGAGCATAGCAATAGTTCAGGCAGGCCATTAAATCCAGCTCAGCCATAGACCTGTGTCAGCCTACACCAGCGGAAGGCTCAGTTGATACCCTTCTACTCATCTAATTGGCAAATCTCAGAAAGGACATGGTCTTTAGGTTGCTTTAGCCTTCTCACCATTACTGCATTTGCAGGCCACTCTGCAGCCCACCCACCACCACAGCTCCAACTTTTATGGCATATCTGACGTACCTAATGCCACATTTCTCATTCTGCTGGTTGCAGACGAGAGCCATGCTGCCAAATATAAATTACAGCTGATGGAAATAACAGTTTTCTTTGAACTGACCTAAATGATACCAATTTGGTTTATTTTGAGATCTGAAAATAGAAAGTTCAGAGCTTGAGCTTGATGCAAAGATGCGTCTGTGATTTTAAAAAAAAGACAAATTATAACTACTTTTATCTGTGTATGTCCTTTTATGTTTTGTGAAATTTTGAGTATGACATAGTGGAAAAACGGAAGCTGTATTGCCTTATTTTCATTCACAGGAGGGGATAAGAGTTTGTTTTTACTTTAGATTGGCATGATGCCAGTCTTTCTGATGATGGAAATTGTTGAGTAGGGGCTAGGAACAGCAATCTGTCAAAACATCCTTGGAAGTGTAGAGTAATGTGTGTGTTTTTACTTTCTCAGCATTTTCTGTGCTATCTTGCTATTGCATAATGCATTATTGAACTCTTATTCAGCAGCCAAACTGCACAAATTGGAGCCACAAAAAAACAAAAAAACAAAAAGAAAACAAACAAAAAAAACAAGCAAAAACAAAATAAGACGCTCAGGCATCTTTCTTTGTTACCAGCTTTTCTTTGAGAAACCTGAGAAGATTGGCTCATTTGATTACGGAATAAAGACTCAGAGATGTCTGTATCTATACTTAAATCTTTGCTGCCACCCTGTGAATATGATCAATACTGCATGCTTTACAGATGATGTGTTCAAGGAAGCAAACAGTAAGGGAATTTGTAAAATATTGCTTCCCTCAACCTCCATATGTGAACAAAACCTTCTGAAATAAAATGAAACTAATCAAAAAGACTCAGCTCTAAAAAATATAATTACATTAGAGACCTGTATATGCACATTATAATCCAGAGATAAATATACAGATATAACTGGTTTGTTAGAAAACATAAAAGAAGCAAACTGTTATATTATTAATTTAATAATGAAAGATGAATACAAGAGTATATTTTTAAAATGCCCGTGGGCTCCATTAGAATAACCTTTTTAAGAAACAGGTGAAAGCATGTACGTGTATGTGCGCGCGGTCACGTGTGAATGCGTGCGTGTGCTATCATGCACATTACATTTTACCTTTCTCACTAAAACCTCTGTTAGACATGGAAAAGTGTGACTCTAAACAGTGCTGCCACATTCACCCTCATATCTCCTTGAAGAATTTTCATAAGGTGACAGCTACCTGCCAACAAATTCCGTGTTGCTCAATAACAACGACAGGCAGTGGCCATCACCTGCTGTATGTTGACGGCTCTTGTTTACAATTCCACTGGCTACCACAAGGGGTCAGTGTTGCCACATGTAGGGCACAAACAAGCACGACTTAGGCAATAGCAGGTGAGTTGAGGATGGCTGACGTGTTTTGGATGGGGCTCAGAAAGCTGTCTCTTCTGATTATCACTTCACTGTACACCCCACACAGAAGAGCCCATATCATTCATCCAATGTGACTGCTTGAGAAAGGGAGCCCAGCCATGGCAGACAAAATGAATAAGTCAGCAGACCAGGAAGAAGGCAAGAAAAGGGGATGACCTGGCCGTTTTGCCTGAGCAAGCCATTCTGTCATCATTTAGGGCATAAAATGACACGGCCAGTCGTCAAATAACTTTCCAGTAATTGCTGTGAGCAGAGGCTTGAGACATGGTTCAATTTTCATACCGCTCCATCTGGTCCATTGTAGAGGTGAGCGGAAAATTCAAGCAGCTATGATCTCAAAGACAAAATGTTTCCACGAAATCGGTCTAGACTTCAGAACATGCTGGATGTCTGGCCTGACACAGGCTCAAACCAGACTTTCACCAAGGGAAATGACAGTAAAATGAGACAGAAACAGTTGGTAAGCTATCTGATACTGATTTACCTTCTGTTTGATCACAACAATAAAACTCTGCTACTTGAAAAGTAATCTAAGCATCATTTTTTCAGCAGGTCATCTCACAGCACCAGGATGAGTGAGAAAACGCAGGTTTATTATAACTTTAAGCCAAAATTCCAAGTTGGAAAAAAAAAGCAGTCCTCTTGCAGATGTTTGCAATTACACGACGTAACATCAGAGTAAATTAACACAGTGAGCATCAAGAAGTTAGTGTCATTAGATACTTTTCTTATCACTCCGACATTGATTCTTTAAAAGTACAAGCTACAGGCTAATTTAGGATATGTCATGAAGCAGAATGAAAGATGAGCTGTCAGAAGCAGCCGTGGGTTGGAGCACCTGCATCTCTCCCACATCATGTCTCCCACTTTGCCAAACCACCTGCCCATATTCACTGATGAGCCCTTAGCCACCAACCTTTTAATCTAAACACCCACCGGTCTACATTCTCAGTCCTGTCTTTAGTACAAACACGATGATGAAACTGCAGGATGGTCTCCTGTGCCTAACATTGCACTCAGTTGCCCTGGGCATTCACATGTCACTTAACATAGAGCACAGATCAGTCCTATGAAATCAGTCTCAGATCTCTCTGCTTAAGAAATAAGTGCACGCGCGCACACATCAAGATGTGAGTCATAAAAGAACAGGCAAATGTCAGCGAACGAGAGGGGAAGGAAAAAGAATGGATACATGCATGCAAAACAGGGCTGGAAAGAACAGAGGAAGGGCTGATTGGGAGGGGATGAGACGGAGAGGCAGCCAATGCGGAGCTCTGCATCTTGAGGAAGAGAGGAGGGGAGAGAGAGGGAGAGAGCTAAGAGGAGAGTAAGGAAGTGAGAGAGGTGGAAAGAGAGGGAGAGAGAGATGAGAGCGAGAATGTGGGGGAGGGAGGGAGAGGGTGAAGCTAAGGCAGTCACTCTGAGAGGGAAGGCTCCAGTGTGGTGCTTTTGGATGTGAGCTGCTCTCCTCTAACCAGCCTCTGCCCATCCCTTTGACTGAAACAGTGGTGTGTGGGTCTAGTAATTGTGCTGTACCAGCTGTGGGGGGTGCTGCTGCTGCTCAGGCTCAGGCACAAGCTGACTGGCTGGTTCCCTGGCTAGGTTGTCTGAGGCAGAGTGGGGTTGACTGGAGCTGAGGTCTAGGGAAGGGCAGGGCAGGGCTGGCTGTTGGGCCATTTGTGCCAGGGCCCCACAGGAAGCAAACATGAGCGTTCCTATGCTAAAGATCGGGGCAGTTCTCAGCACCATGGCCATGGTGACCAACTGGATGTCTCAGACTCTGCCCTCTCTGGTGGGACTCAACGGAACCACCATCTCCAGAGGGGGCACATCAGAAAGGATTGTCAGCGTGCGTATCAATTCTTTTTGCTTATTTGCAAGTGCGTGTGCAGTGTTTTTGTTTGAGCATGCTGTTGTGAATGTGAGAAAGAAAGCGAGAATGTGACAGATTAAAGAGAGTGACACAGCAGCAGACAGAGGGAGAAAGTGAAGAAGCAGAAGAGAGGTTTCAGAGAGACGTGTGAAGACGCGAGTAAGAATAAAAGAGCCCACGTTGTGTTAACAGAGAGACGATGGAGACAGATACACATGTGAGAACAAGGTTTCAGTGAAGCATGAATGATGCATATGTTTGTGGGAGAGTCATAAGTATAAGGATGCAGAATTGTTGGCTTGTGATTGTGAGTGATGGTGAGTGGCGGACAGTCTAAGTGTGGATGTTTGCAGGAGACCATATGTTTTTGCCAGGGTGACAGGAGGTAGAGAGCTGTCCTGACTGATGCTCAGGCTGATCCTATCTGTCAGTCACCTCCAGGGTGGGAAGGAGGTGATGAGGAACACCGAGAGGTTAATACAGTTTTACAGCTTTGAGTATGTCTTATTCCTCCCTTGCTATGTCTATCTTTAAGCATTTTAGATTGTTATCGCCTCAAATTAAACACTGGCCTCATCCTGAAAGGTCATAAGGGCAATTAAGGTGTTTTATAAATAAAACAGCAGTTTATTTATTTATTTTGAATATTTTTTAGTGGTTAATGCTTGCATAATGTTGTACTCTCTTTCTCATGAGGTAACACAGACAATGAGACAGACAGGGAACAAACAAAAACAGAAAGAAAGAAATGAATGTAATATTTTCCGGATCATCTGCAGTAAGTGATCGCTTTTCCTCTATCCTGAGTGTCTTTCTATGGCAGCTTACCCATTAAGTAAATGTTCTGGTCTGTTCAAAAAGACAGAATGAAATTGAAAGTCCCAAGAGGTCTGTGACCATCTGGATGTGTGGTTTCGCATGCATATTGTGCATGACAGTGTTTGTGTGTTCAGACATGTACACACGGAATGTTTAGACATTCTTGTCTCAGGGGTGAAGGTCCATCTGTGGTAAGAAGAGTTTTAGGATGTAAAGTGGCTTGTTAAAACATAAATCTACCACTTTATGTCTTCCTAATGTAGCAGTGGTGTGCCAGTGGAAATGTTTCCCCTTTAAAGAACACTTTCAGACAGTAATATCTTTTTTTGAAAATGTCAAGCACCTGGAAAATTGCTTCAAACTGTTAATCTTTCAAACAACTTGCGCATATGTCGGGTAATTTAGAGCAGAACTCAAGGTAAGAAATGTTTGGATTATAAGTCTTTTATATTATTCTATTATTCCAGTTTTCCTTAGAGGTTATGGCTTAGTTAATCGCTGATTTCTTCTCTATACCAACTCATTCTGCTCAGGATCAGATGGGATAAAAATAAACATCGCCATGTTTATTTTCAATAAACTCTTTCCAAACAAGATTTGAGATCAGAAGCTTAATCATTTGCATTTCAAAAGACTGGATACAATAAAATACAATAAATAGTCATGAGTGGATATTTTCTTTGAGGCAGCCCTAATTCACTGCCAAAGGAGGAAAAATGTTGCTACTGAAGTTCATTTCATCAAAGTTTTAACAAAACTGATGAGCCCGTTTGATGGTGCCACAAATTATTACTGTGTAACAGTCTGTTGTGATGGGAAATGTCTTCTCTTTGAGACAGGGATAATCTCCGCTCATAAACAATGGCAGCAAATAAAACTTTAATGTAAAACCTTGCTTCAAAGTCCCGTCACTATTAATGAGACTTTTGCCTGTGATGATCTTAGAAGCAGTCATGACTCACAAATTGTTTAGAGTTTGAATCAAAGACAATCTAGCTGTGGTCTTGTGACACTCTGGTGCTAACATGCCAGTAGCTGTTGCCTGCCTGCTTTCCACCCTGGCACCCATGCATGCTGCATTGCATATTCTCTAAGCTCAGAGCTATTTTCCAAGTCTGCTTCACTTGCTTTCTGTGCCTGTCTTCTAACCAGCTGACCCAAGAACACAGCTGACTGAATTCATGTGGGCCTTTCTGTGATGGCACTGAGCACAACACTGCCTGGGTGCTTGTACACATCTGTGTAGTGCAGAACCATGTTCCTTAATGAGCAGACGAGACCCTGGAAACACTTACACAGAAGAAGCGTGGCTATAAAGAATTGCTAAGACAAGTTAAAGCTATAAACCTGCCAGACAGAGTGTACACACTAAATCATCTTTTTTATTATGATAGCAAAATGATTTATTCATCTATAAAGAGTGTTATACATTTAAAAAGAAATGTTCTTAAAGTGCTGTGTGGACACACAGCAGATACCAGGGGTATATCTGATAAATTTCTGCACTTTTTTCCAATTATTTATCAAGTTCTGGTCAATGAGACATAAAGGCATGGATTAAAAATGAGTTTTAATTTCTTAGTATAGCATATATATCTTCTCTGTCTGACCGCAAGACAAACAAGTGACAAGTGCTACTCAAGTAAAAGAAGTAGCACGATGTTCAAAGCTGAAAACAGTGTCAAGGAGAGCACTTATTATCTCGGGCAGAGGTTTAGGAGAAATAATGAGACTTCCAAATTTGCCTTCCAAAAAGAGTAATTACCATAAACAGCTACTGCAATTCAAACATTACCTGCTATAAATTGTGAGACACAAGATACACCAAGTCTCTAATGCAGTTTGGCGTTCTTCAGCTTAGTATGTTCAACCTACAAAAACTGTCGTTGAAAAAAAAAAAAGAGCTGTCTGTCCTTAGTTATAGAAATAAAAGGACACATTCACAGTGCGAGACACATAATAAAAAAAGGCTTGTCCATGAATCGAACCCTGCTGTGCTCTAAGTTAAAGCTGAAAATCTGTTGAGATGAAAAATGCTTGCTTTTCTACATAATAATAATAATCACTGAATCTCTCAACACTTTCAGTGAACACAGCATAAGTCAAGGATAACTGTCTCATTATAGATAAAAATAAATAAATAAATACATGTATGTGTGCACAAGACTGGCATAGATAGGTTCCTCTCAATAAAACTGCAGCAGGGTGCCTGGATGTGTATGCATGTGGTGACGCTCCCTTTGATATCTAAATTAAGAAAGCTGTGAGGAAGAAGTCTGAATAAAATATTCTCACCATCAGAGGAGAGAATGGAACAACAAACGTCAGTGTACAAAGAGGCAGGACACAGAAACTGATTGGGGTCACGCAGCCTCTGTCAGGATGTGAGACCGTAAACTTTATCACTTCCACTGCGGAATCCAATAAAGTGTATTGTAAAAATTGATTCTCAGCTATGGATTAAAAATTAAATACGACTGCAGGCTTTTATTTGCACACTTTATTTTTTACATTCATTGTGCTGCTTTCGATTAAATTTATCTCAGTTGGGATTCTGACAAGTGTAATCTAACGTCAGGTTAATGGGATGCAGTGGGAACAGCGACAAGCTCAGCCAATCTATAAAAGATCATTTTCAATTGTTTTAAACTTTAATTAATTATGTGATCGTCTAGCATAAAGCATTGATCCCAGAAAAGGGAATCAGGGTTTTGACATGGTTCATTTGTCATTATAAGAGTATAATTCCACCCTGCAGGACTCACGCCTGTTGCAATTCCTCCATTTTTCAAAAGCAATTCTGTAATCCATATTTCTACCAATGAAACACTAACTGTGTTATAACAGTTTACACAGTGTTTTCTCACATAAGCCACCCTGGCACTCTCTTGCCTGTGTTTAGCACCAGACATGATAGAGCTATCTTGCATCGCTGCAACAGAAGAGCAGAATCCAAATGCTTTTCACTACGGCACCTGGCACGGCGCTGGCTGGAAAAAGTGTAGAGTTGCAGTTGCGCACTCATGCCGAGTGCCAGCGAGTGTCATTTTCTTTAACCTCTCCAAGAACCCCCCCTCTTCAAAAAACACTTGATGCATATGCCCACCCCCACTGTCACTCAAGTGTGAGGTGGATTGGAACGGGTTGTGGGTGCAGATGGAAAGCGAGCAGGACGCCACTGAGAAAGGCGGCAGTCATGAGGGTGATGGAGAAAGACGGAGAGAAAGGCAGTAGGGAGCCAAAATGAGGCAGTAGGGACAGGACCATGATGAGTTTATGACTCATATTATTGACTGGCAACCATGCTGAGCTGATTGTGTTAATCACTTTCCTTGGGAGCAGAGGAGACCTGGGACTTCACTTGGTGTCTTTATTATTTTAAAGCCCAGCAGCTGGCTTTGGCATTAGGGATTTACTGATTGTTCATTTGAAGAGTGAATGTGTGCATTGACATGTTTATCTATATACACTCAATTATAGCAATAACTGGCAAATCTGAAAATGAGAACCGATTGTTTGGGTATAATATAGATAAAATCGAACACTGTGCAACAGAGACAGATGTCTAGTTTTTTGGGGACAAGTACTGATGGATGTTAATGCCTGGCATAAAGCATCATTCTGCTGACAGAGAGGAAAGGAAAGTAAAGCATTTTTTATGAAAGCTGGCACTGCTGGATGACAATGAAGGAAAGAAAAAGATTATTTAGGTAGAACTTCATATTTTATTTCCTGAATAAGAATTCCCCTTCTCAATGACGTCTAGATTTCATCTTCTTCTATGTCTTCTGTCTTTCTCCGTGTACAGCTCGACCTCTCCTCCTCTTCTTAACCTGTCCATCCTCGGTAGTGTTGCAATTTCTCAGCCGTGTTGACAGTTCACAGTGTAGTGGTCAGCTCTCTTCCATATCTCACAACTTGTGCCTGCCTCTGCCTGTTTGCCCCTTCTGCCTGCTGCTTATGAAAGTTATAATAGACTTCCCGTCATGCTCATAAAGTAGGGAGCTGTAGATTTATGATCTCATTTAACTCTGGCTTTACAGCAGCAAGCTCCAGGGTTGGTTTAATGAAACGCCAGAGGAAGTCCATCCTGCAAATCAGCAGTGATACCACCAGCTCAAATGTCTAATTGGATAATACCTCTAAACTTTGCTAATCATTAACAAAACCAAGCAGTCTTAGTTTCTTTGTGCTACAGAGAATCACTCAGATAATGGTTTAACTTAGTAAGTTTTTTTTGGTGGAATCAGCTCTGATTACTCTGCAGCAGGAAACAGTGGAGAAGCATCTAATCTTCACTTATCTCAGCACAGATTCCCCTAAAGTTGTCAATCAGCATTGTAACTGAATACCGTTTAAACCAAGCTAGAGGAAATTAGAGCCACTTCTCTCTTCTCCGTCAGCCTTTCTGAAAGCACAACTTCTCCTTTTCTGCTTATGAAAGTAAGCTGTTCCTCCTTTGATCAGTTTTCCCTTGGGAGGATGGAAGTTTGTGGTTTGAAGATATGTTTGCAGCTGATGGTGATGGGACGTCATGCATCCAGGCTATCTGATATGAGGTCATGGAAATGGAGGAGACTCTGAGTTGGCACAAAGTGGGAAATCCAGAAATATTAACGAGTAATTTTCATTTTAGTGAGCAAACCCAATTGATTTTTAATTTCTCCAACCCTTTGTGGTTTCCTGTTGTTTTCATTGCTGCTGTCTTCGCCATTAATGGGCTTTTACATAGCAGCCATGTTACAGTTTCAAACCTGTCCATTACATATTTTATTTCATCCCATACATCTAATGGATAAATTTCTGGTATAGGGAGCTAAACGCCTTCCCTCTGCTGAAACCACCATCTGTGTCTGGGAGAAAAGGATCATCCTTTAAACCTTAGGTACTCCAGATAGCCACACTGATAGCACGGCGACAGCTCAGGTTATGTTATCGTCACTACTCAAGTGTAGCAAACTAATACACGAGCTGCATACAGTATGCAAACATTACTCACACTCGTTTTCACTCTGCATATCTTGAACATAATTATGGATAAAGGAAGATATTGAGAAATTAGCCTTTTTCATTACTAATGAGATGTTTGCTAGACTACATAGTTTTGACTGTCTTAAATGAACCAATGTCAATGACCCATTCTTTAGAGATGCCTCATATTAATATCATATTAATACATTCCAAAACATATTTAAGTTTATGACGCTATGTTCAATGTGAGAGATCACTAGCTCTGATATAAAGATCCGTCTGGGCACAAAGCATATAAGGACAAGGCACATTTGCATTTAAGAATTACCTTTTCTCTCCTGCTCCCTAAACTGTCACTGTGATGAGAACGGTGAAGTTAGTGCTGAACGGATAGGTGGGTGGTAATGAAACTGGAAGTGATTCAAATAAGCTCTTAATTTCAGCTCAGCATTTATGAAACTTTAATGAACAGAAGAGAAGATTGGTTGCTGTGAAAGCTCTCTGGCTTGGAAAAGCACAGGAAGAGCACAGCGTGATATTAAACATGTTGGAAAATGAAGAAAGCATGATAATAGGCTGACATGGCTCTGATATTAAAAGAAGCTACTTTCAGCTGCTCCCTTACTCGCAAGGGGTCGCCACAGCAAGTAGCTCCACATGTTTTATTTGGCAAAGTTTTTACAGTAGATGCCTTTCTGACGAAACCCAACGTGCCTCTGATTTTATTTTGCTGAATTTCTACTGCCCGCTACGTAAGATTTCATTTGGGAAAGAAAAAAAAGTTGGTGCGACACCGACCGTGGCTCCCTTTGAAGCTGATAGCAATATGAAAAATTAATGCACACTTCTGCATCCACTGGCAAAAATCTAGCTAAGCCCAAAGTGAATATCTCGTGCATAAGCGGACAAGCCCTAGGTGTGTGGATATGCAGAATTATTTTACCAAAGACTGCAGACACCTTAAGAATTAGCAGCTTAAGTAGATTTTGCCGTTTGTATCTAGAAAACCTCCACCTGTTCACACTGCAGGGTACCAGTTTTAATGAAAGTGCTTGTAACCAGCTGTGACTTCACATTCTAGTATTTTACACACATTCACAGTATTATATCAGCCATTACATAGACTCTATAGTTGTGAAGTAAGCATGCATTACAGCTGCAGGAATTTCCAAACATAGCATCTTGAGGGTGTGGATCAGATGTGTAGTTGCATTTCAGTGTGATCCCACAATGTATGTATTATTCCACAAGAATGTATGTAAGTACTGTATGTTGAAGCATACTCATACTGATATACATAGACATTATGACAGAACAAGTTTGAGCACAGATGACCGCTCTCACACGCGAGAATAGCCACAGACTTCAGCACATACAGAAACCTGACAGTGAGTGAGACGTGAGCAGGGAAGTAGATGCTGAAAAAGATGCACGCCCCACCAAACACACCCACACCCACACACATACATACAAACTCCCTCATGCCAAGGCAATGGCAGAATGAAACAGACCATCAGACAAAGATGAAAGGTTCTGCTGTGGCGACTGGCTCTTTTGTCTTAACTCTGGCTTTGGCTATTGTGCCTCTGTATCACCATATTATAGACTTTTGATGGTCGATTGCCTCGGAGAAGGAAGACTAATGATAAGAAAGGCACTGAGTGACAGAAAAAAGTGCAAGTCACTGCAGGGACTGGAAAATATGCAGCAAAACTGATAATACTGTAAAGATATTTTAACCAGTGTGCCAATATGTTCCACGGTGAGTCTTTCACATGGAAAGTAGAAATTCAGTCATCCTGAAATATAGCTAATATATCTATTTAATACTATATGAATAGAATATTTCTCCTTACTTAGCTTAATTAAATTTAGATGCAGTCATATAAATAATTCATGAGTCTATTTAATATGCATTGAATATAATGAAAAAGAGAAAATGTGATAAGAATTACACGTAGAACTTTATTGTTGCTATTGGCACAGGATATTTAAGTCTCTCACATAGCTATAGTCTGTTTGCCATCCCTCGATTTAAAGTAAGTCAGATTTAAGATACGCTCTTTCTGCAACTGCAAGGGAAGAAGAAGGCAGTGAAAGAGGGAACAGAAAGAATGGAGAGGGGGTGGAGTGCCAAGGGATTGGCAGGAATGACAAGATGTGACAGTGAGCACATTGGCTCGCAGGGTGGTTGCTACTTTACACTCCAATCACACAGTCCCCCTGTCCCCCAAGACATTTTAATCTGATCCCCCGACCCAAGGAGACGAGATCACAGCATAACACTGCTCAGAGGAAAGCAGGAGACAGGCACAGAGCTGAGACATAACATTTTATTTCTAGACTTTTCCGACCTCTTATATGGATGGGTCTTAATTGCATCTCCAAAACGGCTCTTTCTTGTCTTATTACAGCTTGCGTCATATGCTGGCTATGCTAGATGCAATGTAAATGAGCAAATCAGAATAGAAAAACCTTTGCGTAAATTGTGTAATGCATACATGTGTGATTGCAAGCGCACAGCACTGCTTTTGATTGGATTAGACAGAGAGAGAGACATCCATCCTTTTAGCCTCTCCCCTCCTTCACTGGTAAGGGGCTGCATTATCGATCGTGAACAGCTCCATTTCCTTTCTGTGTCCAAACTTATTAGATGCTGTGCTTTTGTACAGCCTGTTCTGATCCCTTTTCCTTCCTTTTTTCTTTGAAATCCCCATTTTCCACCAATTTATCTTTGTCTTTCTTCATCCTCCACAAAATTCTTGCTCTGTCTTTGTCACGTCAATGTGTTCTCCATCCATTTGTGTATTTTCCACCAGTCTGTCTTGTCTTATCTTAATCGACACCCATTTCAGCTTTCACCCTCTCCATTATCTTCTAGATGACTCTTCTATCCTCTATCTCTCCCTGCTGGTGTCTTTTACTACTGTGACTACCAGCTCTGTCAGTCTCTTCATCTCCAGTTAAAACTGAAATTAAACTGCAAATGGTTTTGAATAGTTGGGGTGAGCAATTGTCATTAATTTTCTTAGGAGAGGATTCATTTCTGAAAGAGTCACAAAGAAAAAAGTAATGTAATAGAGAAATTATGACTTTGCAGCTAATTTATGGTGACAGAATAGGCTCAACCAATCATGATATAGGATGTATAAAAGAGTCTTTTATTTTCTTCAAAAGGCTTTATGCAACACTTTTAAGTATTAGATAAATTTATTGTCTTAGACACGTTTTATAAGGGTGGAACACTTTTCAGATTACCGTTGATGCGTGCTGGCAGAATAAAATATCTTGTCTGCCCTCATGCATTTTGAAAATCCAATTTGGTAGTAGCACAGATAAACAACTGCAGACATAAACAACCATATTTTATTTTTTATTTTATGCCTGTAAGATATATGTGTCTCTGTATTTCTGCAGGCTCTATACCCAAGACCAGAGGAGGGCTGGGAGATCTACAGTTCAGCACAGGACGCAGATGGGAAGTGTATCTGTACCGTCGTTGCACCAGCCCAGAACATGTGTAACCGCGACCCACGCAGCAGGCAGCTTCGCCAGCTCATGGAGAAGGTGACAGCTGTCAATAACACACCCACACTGGGACACGAGTATTACCCACACAGACATGCAAGCACAAACTGCCACACTGGGCTCGTGTCTGACGCCGTCTGTCACATAAAGGCTGCTGAAGTGAACGGTTTTCCTTTACGCCGCAGTTGATCAGTTGTGCATATGAACACGACACCAGTCAGAAGACTGTTGTTGAGCAGCTGAGTACCTGAAAATTAATGAATTATGAATTGCTAATGAAAAATATCCAAAAACCAACCCATGTAATTGAATTCACTGAACCTTAGCCTTACAATGTTTCTATTATAAATATAAATTTATGAGATAGAAATTAATAAAATTAACTTTTAACAAGTCAGTGAAGATTACAAGTACTTTAGGTGGAGACTTGTAAATTAAATACTATGTCACCAAATCTGGGTTGATTAGGACATTTCATTAGAGCTTTTGTGCTTACTTGTGATATTGATAGCATTTAATGATGTAGTGTGTATTATGAATGCAGTTTTCAACAGGCAGAGAATAAATCTAGGCATTATTTAGATGCAGTAAAGCATTACTGACTGACACGTAGAGCATGCTAATACCTAGTGCACAAACACAAACACACAACTAAGGTCAGGCAACAGGTAGGTTCATAAATGACCCGCAGAGGCTTGTTAAATATCCAGATCTACAGGCAGCACACCTGTCTCTTTTTATTTATTTAATTCATTTAATTTGTATTCATGTCTGTTTAAACAGTAGAAACCAGAGAAATGATGTTAAACACCTTTCAAGTACTTGATGGGCTATGGCAGAGTATCTTCGGTCTGCTCTCCAGTTCATTCATAGTACAGTTGATTTTTTTTCTTGGACAATCAAAACCAGTGAGTAGGTGAAAGAGAGGCTGGCTTCACCGAGTAACTGAAAGCCTAGGAGCAAAGAAGCAGAATGGAGGAGAGGAAAGACAGGAGGGGTTGACATTGATGTGGTCTTGTGAGGAGAGGTGGTGGTAAATTGAGATGCTGAATAAGCTCCGAGGCCCTGATGGATCAATGAGACACCTGAATTCACATATTGCATTCATTCTCATTGAAGTTTCCCTTTTCCCCTGACAGTCTCTGTCTGCTCCTGTTTAAAGCACATGTTCACACTAACAAAATCCACACTCATCCACACTTGAAACGAAGCATATTCCGACAGAAAAGGAAGAGCCTTGAACATAAAGAGACAAACTCAGTAAAACTGGTGAGAGAAGTTCACCTACACATTTGTGCGATGCAAAGTATATATTCCTTTATAGTCTCCATATTTGCTCTTACAGTGTGTGTGTGTGTGTGTAAAGAATAGATTTTTATATATATTAAAAGACTGCAAGTTCAGTTTTATAATAATGCACTATAAAAATGCACTAGTCTGTTTGCATGTTGATGTTTTTTCCCCCTCATTTTTGGTAAATATAATTCTTTGGGAACTGACAGGATTCAGTTCATTTTCATTCTGAACCTTTGGGAAAAAAATAACCTGGTAAAATGTATATGAAAAGTGCATATTATAAAATACTGTTTATATTTGGAAAACTTTAGATTAATTCTGAATGCAAAGCAAGTGCACATTAATACTATTTCCTCATCCCCCTCTTTTGTCTGAGTTTTTTCCTTTAATTCCTTTAATTCCATGTTCCGGCATGTAGAGGGCTGCTCGATTTTGGTGCCACCCATTTAACGAAAGTGAAGTCATTTTCGACATATAATTTTTGGTGTTGTACTTTGCATACAGTTCTTGAGCACTTATCTCACAGCCAGTTGCACCGGTGTTGTTAATCCAGGTTGGAGGATGACACATTTTATTAAAATAAGCTTGTAGTTTCTTATAGATTTTTTTTCTTCAGTAGCATGCCATTGTAAAATTATATTACATAGATCCCAGTGTGGTTTCTTTCAGTGGTTTCCCTTTTGACCTTTTATTTTTTGATTGTTTCCAAATATGTCCTGGAGTTCAGTATAAGCAAGGTGTCAGCTTTTTTCCCCGCTGGCCTCCTGCCCTGCATACAAGTACAAACACCCCTTTGTTGCTGACTGGCTGGAGTAGTGTTGCATGGATTGATCAAGTCAGTTTGTTTATTGCCCGTCTCCAGATTTTTATTTTTCACTGTTGTAACAAAGCAGCCTGCATTGATTAACAGTAAGCGATTGATTAAATTAAAATAAATAAATGGCTTACAGTACTTTGCCATTTTTTTCCCCTTAGTGATTCAAATGAGTCATACAATCATATATAAATGCAGTCTTCTGAAAAACTAAGTACATTGCTTCTTTAGAAATGAAGAGGGTAAGTAGCAGACAAGTCCTTCTAATCAAATGCACTTGATTAATTGACCATCTAATGTGGACACCTCTATAACGGCAGAGGTAGTTTCCTGGCCAGGTGTGTGTTAACACAATGCCATGGAGAAAAGACAAAGGAATGATCTCAAAGAAGCAAATATTGGTGAGAATGGCTCTAAGGCTCTTTCTAAACTATTTAAAGTCCATTATTCTACAATGAGAAAGATTATGCATGAGTGGAAAAGATAGTTGCCAATCTTCCCTCGAGTGGATATCACAACAAATTCACCCAATGTGATGTTCAGTGAAATGGCAAAAAAACCCGAGAGCTACATTTCAGACTCTACAGGCATCAGTTAGCATGTTAAATATTAACGCTCATGTAAGGCCACCTGTCTGAAAGCTAAACCTTGTCCAAAATGTGTCCATGCAACAAGACACCCAGCAGCAAATCTACAGCAGAACAACTAAAAACTGAAAGAATCAGTGTTTTGCAGTGGTCAAGTCAAAGTCCAGACATCGACCTGATTGAATTGCTGTGGTGGGTGAAATGCTCAAATGGAATTATGCAACATTGTAAAAAGAAAAAAAAGAAAAAACTAAATTTCTTGCATGCACACTACTTGTAAGACACTAGTTATTAGAACCAAACACTCCCATCTACTACTGTCCACAGCCCAGCTTGAGGACACCTGGGGTCAATGCTGTTTCAGCTGCACACAAGACGTTAGTTTAAAGACTACGTGTTATTCTCTGTGTATAAGCACATTATAGTTCCATGCCCACCAAGCATCCTCATTTGAACTCAGAGCATGCGGGTGAAATGTTTGATTGGACCAGATCCACAAAATCTCTCTCTGACAAAGAAAGCCAAGGATACAATAACAATGTCAAAACAGCCCCTCTGTTCAAAGAATTTAAAGTAGCCTTGTGCAAAATCTCTATTCAGCTCTCTGTAAAGCCAGACAAAATGCCATTTAATGCAGAGCTGACCTGAAGAATACTGTGCAAGAGTGCTCACAACATACTTTTAAACACCTTATGGACTCTTTTAACCTCTCTATGTAACTGTGTTGAGGTAAAAAAAAAAAAAAAAGTGATATGAGGCCAAAGTCAGCCATACACATAAAGACAGTTTTTAGGATTTGTTACAAAGTGAGTCATCGCGCTGGACAAGAAGCAGATACACCTGTGACTGATTCATCTGAGCTGGTGAGTGTAGAGAGAATCTTATGTGACCAAAGGTAAGCATGAAATGCCACAACTCAGAGGACTGAGTGGTCCCAGCTGTCAACTGCCCTGGAGGGTGGTGACACTGCATTTGTTTAGAGTCCATCCTGCTGGAACATTTTACCCTTCCACATTCTTCCATCTAATGCACATGTAGTGCTGTAAAGCAACTTTTAATTAGTGAAGGGATATATTTTCTGACCAAATATAACCAGAACGGTTCATGAAGCACATGAGGAATGAACTGGTTGTAGAAAACAAGGGACACAAAGTAATTGAGTGGGTTGTCAGAGAGTAGGCAAGCAAAGCATTTGGTGCAAAGTAGAATTTGTTCCAAACGCTGACCTTTGAGAGCTTGGCCTGTTTTTTGTTTATGTTAGGAGTGATATGAATAAGTATATTTTGCTTGCTTGGAGTTTTGATTGCGCATGTCATTGTGGGTGGGCGTCTGTTGCTGTGGGGAGTTGTACATATGTACCCATATGCCTCCAGTATACACGACAGCCCAGTAATATTTATCAGTGTTCAACTGATTTCTGGCCAGTTCAGTGCATCGTGCAGGAGATGAGGGGGTGCATGAATCAGTAGGTTGGTTATGCAGAAACAGAGTGGGCTGTCAAAAGTGAATAAGCTGAGTACTTAGTAAAAATTAAACATAGTGCAAAACTGAGTGTTCAATAAACGCCTACTTAACAGCATGTTTGCTCCTCCACGAGGTTCGTTTAGTAACATTTCATAGGCATCCATTACCTTTTGCACGCTGTCATGATCATGAGCTTACTATCCTTATTTTCATAGCTGTAGCATTTTTATATGAGTGAAACTTGTTGACTTTCATTGCATGTTGAAAGTCATGTATAGCTGCGTTGTTTGTTTATTATCTCGACAGATTTGATAGGACTGTGCTGCTTTTTAACCTCCCCATGCTACCAACTTTCTTTTTCATTACTTATTTTTATTAAAAAATATATATATATATATAAATTGACAGTAAATAAAAGCATATATAACTTTCTTCTGACCTGTAGTGTTTTTTATGTGCGATTTGCACACCTTCAGCTGTAGAAATGCCTGCCTTCCCTTGAAAATAAATAAAAGAAATGGAAAAGACCTTGTGGTGCTCAAATTGCCAAAACGCACATTTAAAAATGTTTAGCAGCACATTAAATGTATTAAAGTCCACAAATCACACAGTTAGCAGTTATAGACTAAATCCTACCCCTATATCACTTCTTTTGAAAAATGACACATTTTAATGTAATTTTGCCTCTGCACACCATTGCCATGGATTATAGACCAGATAGTGAAAATGTGAATAAAGTAGAGACATTCAGCTTTAATTTTGATTAGTTTTATTAGATTAGCTGCACATAGTCCCCCACTTTCAGAGACTCAGCTGAAAAGCTACATTCCCTCCCTTGAGATGCCCCACTAGGCATTTACTGCAGCCACCTTCATTAGCCATTTCTTTATGTGCCTTTCTGCAATCAGGCTTGTCTTGAGTAACTGAAAAGCAAGCTCTGTTGGATTGATTTCAGGTTAATAATTTGGCCAGTAAAGAATATCCTATTTCTTAACCTGGAGAAACTCTTGGGTTTCTTTTCCAATATGTTTTGGGTCTTGCATTAGGAAGTGCTATCTGACAATTTTGCACCATTTGGTTGAATCTGAGCTGAGCATATAGCCCTTTAAATTTTGCAATACATCCTACTACTTTTATCAGCAGTCACATCATCAATAAACACTAGTTGCCTTGTTCCACTGGTCAGCACGCATACCCATGTCACAACATTGCCTCCACCATGTTTGACAGACGGTAGGTAGATTTCTTTTTCTTTGCAGACCTTTGTAGGCTCTTTGAAATGTTTTCTGATAAAGCCAAGTCGAGCCTTCCTGTGTTTGATTGTACCAATTTTGTAACATTTTGTAAACCCTCTGTATTTCCTATCGTGAAGGCATTTCTTGATTGTAGAATGTGACAATGATGCAGCTACCTCTTCAAGAATGTTCTTAAATTTCATAGATTGTGAAGTTGTATTTCTTAACCATAGAAATAATATTGTCATCACTGTTGAATATTCCTGTCATCATAATTATTTAAACTGAGAGTTGTATGCCTAATTCTATATTCAGTGTGATTAGTGTACATTTTAAAGCCCATTCTTTATTTCAGTAATTTTTACAGCTTATGAATGAAACAGTACAGATTATGTAGTTTCAACCAACTTCTTTAACTTAACATATTTAAATTCAAAAACAGAGCCACCTCCACATTCTTCTTTGGCTGTAATATTTAACTTGGAATATGAACGAAATGGGAGCAGAAGTTTTTTTTTAGTTTTTTTTTTTTAGTATCTGCACACGAGTACTACAAAAAAGATGCCTACAGACAAGTAAAGGACAAGTTTATAGACATTTCACATTCACAGCTGAGGCCACAAAGTTTTCAGTTCATCCCACCTGTGTATCTGGAAAACCCATGCCAACCCCAAACTACGAAGGCAGGATTACAGCAGGACTTTTTTTCTTGCCTGACTCATTTACTGCAATTTAAACTAAATAATGAACAACTGCAAAAATGAAACTTACAATAAATGATCTGTGATTGAGGTGTAAAATGAGAAAAAAAAACTCCTCCTCTAAGATAACCCGCGATCATTAGTGTCATTGTGGGTTTGTTTTTGTGACGCAGGTTCAGAACATCAGCCAGTCAATGGAGGTGCTGGACCTAAGGACGTACAGGGATCTACAGTATGTCAGAAACACAGAGAGTCTAATGAAAGTGGTAGATGGAAAGCTGAAGGTGGCCTCTGAAAATCCCCGCAGCCTCAATCCAAAGGGCTTTCAGGTAATTGGCTCTGTGTCTCCTCATGTACAGTGTGTGTGTTGGTGTTTATATGTGTGTATATTATTGTCAAGTGAATGCAGACACTGTTGATTTGGCACTGCTCGCCAAACTTATGCATTGCAATCTCTTTTGCTCTTCACAGACAATAAAATTTTGTATGACTCGCGATGCACTGCAGCATAAACATAGGTACACAAATTCATTTCCAGTCTTATATGAGTTCTTTTGTCATGCACAGAGAAATCCAAGTAAATCGCACACTCATGAGTGATTAAATTCTTGGACCTAGAAAAAGTATGGGGGTTTTTTATGGGGGGGAGGGGGGTTGCATTTGTCTCTTTGTATCCATTTGTTCTCTATCTTCAGTGAGCTTACTACTTGATATACTTAACATTCTGCTGTCTGCCTTTAGATAACAGGCACATACATTCACATTTATCTCTACCTTATCTGTCTACAAGCTAGGGCTTAGCTGCCATTATTAGTAAGCCTTTTTGTCTTCCTGTCAGCAGGCTGTCCTACTGGGGTTTTTTAACATTTCTCACACTCTTACAGATATTAGATGGACCATAAAATAGTTTGATTAAAAGATGACTTGATAAATGATAAGTGTGCTTTACTGCTGGGTCCATACTGCAGCACAAGGACAAGCACGAATGCCTGTGTTTTGCTTTCAGTGTGTTTTATGAAAGCCATTCCAAAGAAGGTAATGAAGATGTTTATAAAATTAACCAATTCATCAGCACTGCCTGAGATGACTAAAATATGCAGAATGAAATGAGTTATATCTTCTGATCTATCTTAATTCAACAAAGAGGGGAAAAAGCTGGATTTGTCCAGACCAGGTTGGCTGATGAATGCGTGCAGCTTAAAGTTGCCGATGGCAGAGTGCGGGAGATTAACGAGAGTGAATTTTCTCTTCTTGAAAAAGTGAAAATGAGATTTATGATGTGGCGCCACAGGGCTGAGAGCTGCTCCATCACCAGATTTACGATAAACCTTAACAAGGAGGAAACAGTCCCTCCTGTGGCGGCCACACTTTATTGATACGCCCAATTCTCTCTTGAACCCACTTCTCTCCACGTAGGCAGCCAGGTTCTCCTGCAGCTTCCTGTACTCCTACGGACATGTTGTTCTTTTAACTTCTAAACACACGATGAGTCACAGTCCAAGTTTATTTACAACTAGCTCTGCAACTGCAGCAAGTAGGTGAAGTTTCATCACCCAAAACAGATCACAGGCGTTTGGCCAATTTGAATAGTGTTTCTCATATAGGTGGCTTTCCAATCCAAAATATTTTCAAAGGAAGTAAAACTGTATTTACAGACATGGAAAAACAAAATATTTGCTTTTTAAATAGATAAAATATTCCTTTTGTCCTTGAAAGAAGATAAAAGGACATCTAATTTCAGGGTATTGACATAAAATATTAAGAATAGACGTTGTACATCTCATTAAAAATCAAAGGTCTATAGTTTTGAACAGATAAACCAGAACCTAATGGAGACATAAGCTTTATGAACCACAAACACCAAGGGAAGATTGCACTCACTCCCATGTACTGACTATCACAGGGCAGTTGTGTCCCCTATCTTGACTATTCTCTAAGGGTGTAATCCTCTTCCCCCTTTTCTGTGATAACTATCACAGGAGTTAAAAGACAAGGTGACCCAGCTGCTCCCCCTGTTGCCAGTGCTGGAACAGTACAAGACTGATGCCAAGATGATCCTGCGTCTTCGGGAGGAAGTAAGGAATCTGTCCTTGGTGCTTATGGCTATCCAAGAGGAGATGGGGGCCTACGATTATGAGGAGCTGCGACAGAGAGTCCTGCTACTTGAAACCAGACTCCACTCCTGCATGCAGAAACTTGGTATATATGGAAACGATTGTGGGTGTTTGTATGTGGTCATTGTTACCCAATTAAAAATGTATTACCATATATCATTGCAGCATTTAATCAATTTGACAACAGTTGCACAGAACAGAATTAATGATTACACTAGGATCATCGCTGGTCAAAACTCTGTAGCATGTAGTTAACATTTCCACGTTGCTCTGATCTCAAATGATCTGCATAAATTGAGAAAAACTGGCCTAGAAAAATGGAATGAATAATAGATTGCATTTGTGTGTAATATGTTAGCTTAAACTGATGATTTTACAAAAACCCCACACATATAAACTGATGAGTTAACAAAAAAGACTGCAGTTACAGTTTAGCCCTTAGCTAATTTGCGTTTTATTATAGTTTTACATTTGAAAATGAACCAAGAGAATTTAAAAAAAAAAATAATGCTCACTTTTTGAGTACTGGGTAAAAACCAGGACAGTAAAACAACAATGGAAATATAAAAATGATGCCGCAAAGTCAGTCGGTGAACCAGTTTTTGTGTATTACAGATTTCAAAAAGCAAACACAAGATCGCATTGTGGAGAATCACAAATGAAAACAAGACAACAGAAGATGACTGCACAAAATATTTATCTACGCATTTATCTGAGATAATGATACAAATAGTACATTTTCTTAGTGTACAAAAATTTAAACTTCTACAGTGAAAACAATTGAACTGAACAATCTGAACCAAAACAAATGAAATGCCATATTTCAGATGAATTATAAAAGAAAACTAGTGTGATCTGATAGAGAAATCACCTGAGTGCATGTGCGTCTGTGTGGCCTCTTAGGTATGTAGGCATACATGCTTTCTTAATTCTTCTGCCTCTTTGACCTCCAGGCTGTGGGAAGCTCACTGGCGTCAGTAATCCCATCACAGTACGTGCATCAGGGTCAAGGTTCGGCTCCTGGATGACAGATACTATGATACCCAGTTCCGACAACAGAGTGAGTTTCTCAACTGCTGCATTTCACAAATACAGGAACACAGGATTATTATTATTATTATTATTATTATTGTTGTTGTTGTTATTATTAGGATAACCAAGCAAAGAGGATAACCACAGTCAACCTTCTCAGTGAGGAAAAAAAAGAAGAAAATATGTGTCAGGGCAGTGCCACTATACGGCACTTCAGTGACTGATGCACTGTTTTCCATGAAAATGACTTCTCATGAGCTTTCAAGGGGGAGAGAGAGTGAGAAAAATGGGAATCCAAAGCTGTGCCACTGATGGATAGCGTATCTTTCCCTCCTCTCTGTCTTCCTCTGTCACTACAACTCCAGCTGATTAATCACTTCATCATCAGTGGAGAAATGAATGAGATGTTTGGGCAAAAGTTTTCCAAATCACTTGGGTAATTACCAGGAGTGTGCTCTGGACCCAAATGATATAGTAATGGGTTCAGCTGATCAGACATGACATGCAGTTTTGTACGGCCAGGCACATGGCAAGAAGCAGCAGGAAAGAGACAAGGGAAGAATAATATAGAAGATTAAGGGTGGTCTATGGTGACTGAGATGAAATGGTGGTGTTGGAAAAGTGGAAGACTGCATTATTAGCCATGTGTAGAAGAGAAGGGAAACTGATTAAGTTTAAGAGGAGAGATGAGCTTGGCCTTTTTCTTTCCTGCAATGAATCATAACAGCCTAAATAGGTGTTGTGGACAGAAAAGGTCAATTTTTGTGACTGAATGTCCTGATCTTTGTCTTTAATCACCTGGCTCAATCACTTCAATCTCTCCGAGTATTAATAGGCAGATACATTAGCAATGCCACATTAAGATCCGCAGCAATAATCATAATCATTCTGGGGAAATTTCATTGTTGCTCATGAGCCAAAGGCAAAGGAGGAAAAAATCGGAATGTGCAAGAGCTTTGCTTTACTCAATTTCTGTCTCCTACTCTATTCTAGAGACCCAAATTAGCAGGCATAGGAGAAACAACGCTTAATGCTCTATAATCTCCCCTCCTACATAATTCAGCCGCTGTGTCTCTTCACCATCAGCTCCTCCCATACCCTTCCTTTCTCCTCTGTGCATTTGAAAATACTTACTCTACAATGGAGAAGCAAGCAAAAGTGGGACAAGAAAGAAAAATTGCAGTAAGAGAATCAGAAAAAGCAGTAGATCGTAGCAAAGCTTTCCTTCAAATGTTCAAGAGAAAAATAACCATCTAAGCCAACTGCAGTTTAATTGAATCAATTAAAAGCTGAACTGTGCCTCAGTGAGAGCACTGAGGGAATGAGATGGGAAATGCAGCCAGAGAGGGGCCATGTCAGTGGAGAGATCCGCTGAGAGTGCTTGAGGAAAAAGATAGAGTTGCTAAATGGATTGATTTTCTGTAAATGTGGACTGGAAAGGGCAAGGAGCACAAGCAGTGGTTGACTGCAAAGCGCAGGCAACATCTTCACTCCCACATGCCTGGCAGATCAGTAGCTCTGCACACACATCGATGCATGCACAACTCAGAGAATCGATATACACACACACTCAAACAAGCACACTAAACATTCTTATTTTAGGCCATTGCAGCTACTGATAATGAACTGTGACTTACATTTTCTTACAGAAAGGTCAAGTTTAACACAACAATATTTTTCTCCAGTAATCTCGAGACCTTCTCATTAACTTGTTTTTCTGACCTTTTTTTCCGATGTTATTCATTTTTCCTTTTTCCACAGGTGTGGTCCATGGACGGTTACTTCAAGGGACGTCGGGTCCTGGAATATCGCACAATGAATGATTTCATGAAGGGCCAGAACTTTGTGCAACACTTGCTGCCACACCCTTGGGCTGGCACTGGTCATGTGGTCTACAATGGTTCACTGTACTACAACAAGTACCAGAGCAACATTATCATCAAGTACCACTTCCGTTCTCGAAGTGTGCTGGTGCAGCGCAGTTTGAGTGGGGCCGGCTATAACAACACTTTTCCCTACTCCTGGGGTGGCTCCTCTGACATCGACCTGATGGCGGACGAGAATGGCCTATGGGCTGTTTACACCACCATCCCTAATGCTGGAAACATTGTCATCAGCCGCCTGGAGCCTCAGAGTCTGGAGGTGCTGCAGACTTGGGACACAGGCTTTCCTAAGCGCAGTGCTGGAGAGTCTTTTATGATCTGCGGCACACTATATGTCACCAACTCCCACCTGGCTGGTGCCAAGATCTATTTTGCTTATTACACCAACACATCAAGCTATGAGTACACAGACATCCCCTTCCACAATCAATACTCCCATATTTCCATGATGGACTATAACCCCAGGGAGAGGGTCCTTTATACCTGGAACAACGGACACCAGGTGCTGTACAATGTCACACTCTTCCAGGTTATTAAGACTTCTGGAGACTGAGGACCCTCAGACTGACTGATTTAAAAAATGCTGTGATTATTGTTCTGGGGTGTCAGAGGTGGGGGGCACAGACTATGGGAGGTGTGGGTTGGGGGCTTTAATGTATGGGTATAGGCTTGGATTTTTTTTTTTTAAATGAATTTCAAACTTCATAGAGTGCTATTACTCACATTCTCAAAAAACCATCCGACAGTAAGGTCGGCAAAGATACAAAGACTGAGCACTTCTCTCTCTTTTTTTCTTTCTGTGATGAGTAAGCATGGTTCTTTTTATTTGTGATGATAAATAAATATCCTCTTTACCATTTATCCTTTTGTATTTCATTGTCACTTTGATTTCAAAAACCTTAGATGAATTTTTGGAAGAGGTGAAAAATCTGTCTGAAAATGTGGTTTCAAACGTGAAAGGCTCAAATAGGAGTAACATTTCCTTTGTCTGTGTTGTTAATGTTCCTGTTATTTCCTTGAAGCCTAGCTCAGACAGATACAAAGCACAAAAGATGCATTTAGAATAATATTGAAGCTATTTTTCTAGCCTGAAATACTTAAACACACAAAATATGCCAAATGATACCATTTTAAACCAATTAAAAATAATGCAATAATTATATCTACTCTATTCTACCAAATCACAAGATGATGAAAGGACAGCATGAGAATACTGACAAGACCATTTCTAAGGTTGCATTAAATTATAGGTCTGGAAAAATCACCAAAGATTTTCCATCTGAAAACAACAGAGCACAGCACTCTGTGAACGCAGGATAATAAAATTCAAACAGCGTTGAATTTAACTGCAACGGCAACCACTTACATTTCATTTTACCAAGGTGAATTGAAAGTGCAAGCAAAACATCTGATAAAAAGAGCAGATGGTGGTGCAAAGGGTCGAGAAGAATCCACAGCAAATGAAAGACAGAATGTAAAAGGTATTACATTAGAGATGACACTTCTTTGTTATTGCTGCTTGTCAGGCTCCAATCTGCTTTAATCTTGTTAGTCCCACAGCTCCTCTCAGATGCTTTCTGCAGAAAAATGATAAAATGCAAACCACACAGTAGCACACGGCTCGCATGAAATTCTCAACCTGCAGTCCTTTTATTGCAGCTTTGTCATTATTTACCACTGAAATATTTCAGAAGCCATACTGGCATTTTGTGCTGCATGGAGGAGACAACAGCCCGCTGTGCTTCATTTCTGTGCTTTCATCTATAAGGTTTGTGCATGCTTTGCAGGGGTTGTAACATAAAATAATATCGTAGATTCAACTTTTCTCTTCTTTGTAGTAACCATGGTGGATTTATCCTAGATGACCTTTCTATCAATAAGTGCTACGCTGAAGAGAACCCCAATGAGTTCATACACAGTAGCAGCTGACATTTAAAGCACAATGCAATAAAAAAAAGGTACAAAGCATCTAACAGCATCAAACAGAAACAGTATTGACTGGGAAAAATAAAGGTTTTGGAGCTACCACAATATTACTTCACATGTAAAAGTAACTGGTTAACAAAGAAACAGATAAAAGTTAACAGAGACTGAATGTGCTCTTAACACAGGTCCACCACTCACTGCTCTCCCACTGCCCACACACACACACGCAACTGGTTTTAAAAAGCAGTGCAGCACATCCTGAATTTGCAAGAATATATACAACAGACCAAGACATCACCTATAGTATAAATAGAATTTCACCTTTTAAAAAACTTTATAGTTTATAGTTTCATAAGCACAAAATAGTATTTGAAGTTAGGCGTGACTGATTATGGCCATGAGTGGTAAAGACAGGAGTGCATTTTCAAGCTAGCAAACGTTCTTGCTTTCTTCTTAACATAAAGAAAGCAAGGAAATAGTGACCCATACTAAACAGACAAATAAAGCCATGAGACTGGAAACAGGCACTCCTCTGAGAAATGTGAATGGAATATTTATCCATTCCACAAAATATGACATTTTTTAAGCAGTGGGGTTTTTTTAAATTAATGTTTCTTCAAAAGAAACAGAGTTCAAAACAGATAAGAATCAAAAGAGAGCTTTGCAAGGACCAACATATGTGCTGTTGTGCCACCCAGTTCTCACACTTAGTGCCAGTCGGTGTGGCAATAACAAAGACAGAGATCAGGGGTATAAAGAATAGCACCAAATCATTATGTGGTGACCCCATTTGAGTATTGTATCATCATATCTGTGTCAGTCTAGATCATCTTCAGCTAAGGCCAGTTTGTCAGAGCACAAACCCCTGCTGCCAAGCAACAGTACTTATGTGCCATCTTTCCTCAGGATCATCTTAAGGATAAAAGACAGTAGGCTGAAAAAGGTGGTTGTGATTCAGGGCGTGTAAAAATGTACTGTAGTAAAAATTCAGAAGCGACATGTCAAATGTTTTTAAAAAATATATATGAGGGAAAAATATATTATAAGTTAGAGCAAGAGGTATTAGTTGAATAGATAAATTGAATTTAAAAAATAATAATTAGTGAAAGATGGTGATTTTGTGCTTATTAGCTAAATAAGTGTTTTTATTGTTCTATCAGAGTATGATGAATACAGTATGATGAATAAAGTGTGGATTCTCAGATTTAATATCTGAACAAAAATATTTCATCAACCCCTGTGAAACAGTTTTCTATTTGCAAGGCCTTCAATGTATTAATCATAAAAAATGCAAGCAATGACGCATGAAGTCTTAAACTCATGAATATCACCAACGTGTGATTTTCCTTCTTTCTGGTTATATGCGTAGCTTTTATATCAGTTATCTTCAGTTTTTATTTGTGTGTTAATCTTTCTACCTTTAGTTTTTTCTTCAGTAAAATGCTTGTTCAGTCAGGATGAGATTAGGGAACTACTGAAGAATATTGCACTTTCTAGCTTTATAATACTCCCTGCATTGCTTTAGTAGCATTTTGGGTGATTTTCTATGTGTAATGAGAAGAACTTTACTGGATTTTTGCTAAAGTGAAAAGCAGCTCTACACACTTCAGAATGTGTTCTGTTTAATTATGAATTAACACTAGTGACACAGTGCTGACAAAAACTACAAATGTATGTGCATTACACCAGATTTTGCAGGGGATCTTGTATTAATTCAAATTACATGCCATTCCAAAAGTGCAATGGAAGCAGAGATTGACCCTTCGTTGATTGTGGATGAGAAGGCACAGTACAGTTTATATTTAGCATTTAAGCTATGCCTTTATTGCTCCTCAAGCATGGGATACTGTCATGGAGTGATTATGATATAACAGAAGCATAAGAATTGACACATGTGCAACAGTACAAGGAAAAATCTTACGTAAAGCAAAAAACAGAATTTGTAAATTAGTACACGTTTAACAAGCTTGAAAGCATCTGGTATACTTTATTCTTCAACACAGCCTGAACAAAGCTCTTGGGCAGCTTTGTTGTAATTTCCTTAAGTAGTCATCTCGTTGGAATGTCCTTCAGGCTTCTTGAAGGATATTCAGAGTTCTTCTTTGAATGTTGGCTGCCTTTTGTTCTATTCTCTGTCAAGATGATCCTCACACGGCTTCAGTAATGTTGAGGTCCGGGCTCTGGGGAGACCACTGCATAGTTGATACTGTTCCATTGTGCATCTATCCAGGTATGCTTGTGCTGCATTGTCAGTTTGTTCAGGATTGTTGTTGTGCTGAAAAAAGAAGCCACTGCCAATCAGACAACGTGTTTGTGGATTAAAGTCTGATCCATAATGACCTTTTACCAGACCTCCTCTGTACATGTTGATGATGATCTGAAACAAAATCTTCCCATTTGGATTCATTGCTAAGCTTTTTTGGCTAAAAGCTATTTGGGAATCACATTGTTGATACAAAAATGCTATTTTATGACTGTCAGACTGTGATGTCTTTGACACTTCCTTTGAGTGATACATAGGTCAGCGTTAAAACAGTTTAACAAACAAAACACAATCCTCTTAAATGTCCTCAAATAAAAGGGCAGGACTGACAATCAGTATAATAAGTGAACCAATATTCAAGACCACTTTAAAACATTACAAGAACGTCTGCCTCATTGGAGGTGAAACATAAAGAAAGAAGTGCTGTACTGCACAGTACTGTAAATTGAATGATTGAATAAAATCATTTACCACCAATTTAAACTGTGGATTTAATTTAAAAATTCATAGTGACAATGTTTCAGATGTTAAATTGGGATTAGGGTTAAATTAATGGTTAAAATGTTTGAAATGACTTGCTGTGTTATTATTTCATCATTCCAGGCTGGACAGCAAAGTATAATTTTACAGCAAAGTTGTTGATTCATGTCATTTGTGGTAAAGTATGAAAGAAAGTTCATGTGGAAAGACCTTTAGCTATTTCTGCAGTTGCATTTTTCATTGTTGTTGGAGTCAGCTGTGACTTTGCACATTTTCTCATGGTGCAAAGTCACAGCTACAGGACCCCAGGAAAAACAAAATAACAAACTTTAAAATTAAAGTTTGCATGAATAATAACCAAGACAGAACGTATTAACCTACAGAAATCTCTCAGCATGAGCAGCTTCCATTAATGGAGAGCTGAAATCTAAAAAGAACAATAGGCGACAGAGTGGCTTTGCCGGTTTGATTTCCTTAAAGTGGTTATGAACATGCATTCGCACATGCAGTCGGACTGATTGAGTGCAGGTGGCAGCGACAGAACTGGCTTGATAGAGTGCATGGGGTGAGATTCATCGGCAGGAGCGGAGCTACAGAACAGCTCGAGAATTAAGAAGCAAAGCCAGTTCCAGTTTAATCACGCACCCATCCTCGAGAAGAAGGGTTTGTTTTGATGGAAACACAATCATCTTTGTGAGTGCAGCTGGTCCTGAGACACTCCTCTTTGATTAAACTTGAGAGTACATTTGCTTTCTGTCCCTTCTACTCATACAGTAGGTCATGCAGCAACTTCTGTCCTCTGAAAGGAAAACTTGCAAATCACCCCAGCCTTGTTTTATGCATCCTTTCACTGTAACCTTTTACATCACCTTCCTCATTAATTGTGCCCTCAGCCACACTTGGAACAACACCCCACCTCTTGTTCAGATTCACAGTAAACATTTCCTCTACACCCTGCCCCTTGAGGTGACACAGAAACGCTATGAACAGGGCTTTGAACATTTGTTTCCTCATGATTAAACATAACTTGCACTCAGTTTCCTAATTTTTTTCCACACTCCATATTCATGTTTGAACTCTAAAGGCAAGCAAAGGTGCCGGGGTGTCGAGATGGAATAATGGGTTAGCTGGAGAAGACGCTAATTTACTCTACTCACCTCTTTGGAGAACCTTCCTCATTAATGTCCTCTTT